TTCATATTGCCTTATAAGGTGAACAGTAGTTAATATATATTAAGTAGGTACCTATATGGCTGAATGTTCTACCGTTGATTATAAGAAATACTTTTGTGACGTATGCATCAATTCGCTTAAAAGTTTTTATACGTGTATTATTATTTATTTGTAATGCCTATATGGAATTGTTTTGAAAACATGTATAGTTTATAAAGTTTAGAAGAGAAAACTGAAAAGTTAAACATTTCAAAACTAATTAATGTAAGTTCATAAAATATACATTTTTTTTTAAATTTCAGTTTATTTACAAACACGATAATATAATAATTATTATTATTTATTGTAGACCATTATATTATTATTACGTCTAAACCGATTTGCCCTTGAAACAAGGTATCCCAATCAAGTTAAACCAAAAGGTGATAAATACTCAATAGGTATTAGGCATCAGCTTTCAAATTTCACTTTTTATTGATACAAAGATTGCAGCGTGAACCACCGGAGTGCTGTATCCAATGTTAAGTTACTGATACTCAAAATTAGGTACCAAGGCGTAATCTCAACCGTTGATATTAGGTATAAACCATACCAAGCTGCATCCATAATAGCTTCATTATAATAATGTAGATTTTGTTTTTAAGTGAGAATTTTTCTTTACGCAGAAAACAAAGTAAATAGTAAGACATATATTATACACCTAAAATTTCATTTGGATAATACATAAACAACTTTATTAATATAAATATAAATAATAAATATAGCTGACTGCTCACTTTGTATGCTTCCTTACGAAACAGTTTAACATGTTCAATACACTAGTATATAGCTTATAAAATAAAATAAAGATAATAAAATAGTAATTAAATAGATAGCGAAATAAAATGATATGATTACAATATCAATGATTGTTAATGATAATTATAAATGATAGTTTATTATATGCAATGTGTCTTTCAACGTAGACGAACATATTTTTATGAGGTCACTTCACAGTAAACAGTGGTTTTTGAAGATGTCCAGTAAGCATTACGATGCTGTTCTGCGTAAACCATAGCTCGACTGTTTCCCCTCCTCCTACTCCATAGAGAAGGCTCAAATTGGGAGTGTCTTTAAACTTTAAAGAGATAAATTCGTAAAATAAAAATTATAAAACTCAAAAATGATTTTCTCATATATTTATGAGGGTATTTTTCTAAATTTGTCTACCAATAATATAAATATATTATATTATACTATACAACTCAAATTTTTTTTCTTAACTAAGTTGAATGCAATCTATTTATTTTGTTATAAAATAATATATTTTCAATAAAATATTTTACCAATAAGAAAGTTTTACTTTTGTGTTTAACTTTATGATGAAAAATTGTCATCTGATAAATTAAAAAACTTTATTGCTTATAGATAACTATAGCAATATAAAGTACAGATATGATACAGGAACTCGTGTTGGGGTAGTAATTTCATGTTGCTCGTATCGATGACAGTAAATGTAATATTATTCTATGTAGGTATTTGGAAGGAATCGATTTTCATAATTAATAATATAACCTTGGCTTTAATGACATCTAATTTATATACATAAATAGATAGTTTTCACATTTTAAATATACATATAACTAGTTTCAAAGTCATAAAAAAACAAGAACAGGTCAAATGGAAATATATCTACTTAATTATTAGTACAAATCAAATTTAAGAAAATAGCATGAAAAATTACTGATTTTAAAACTAAATATGATATACACATAGATACATGATACACCTAAGTCTTGAAACTATCACAGTATCAAACGAATTACCTTTTGATTACCATTTAATATTTTCAACACATTCTCATAAATCTTACTAGTATTATCCTACTCGTATATATTTACTATAATTACATTGGATCATAACAATCAAAATAGTTACACAATTACACAATTTTATTTAAATACCTTATTTACGGTAAAATGATAAAATAAATAAACAACAGTGATATGTGCTATAATTAAAATAAATCAACAAAAAAGAAATCCTTTAAATATATCTCGAAAAATTCAATATTCGGATAAAAATAAATTATGGTAGTTAAAATTTAGCACAAGTGACACAAAGTCATAATAGAAATCTATGTATATATTTTCATACCACATGTGTCGAAATTACAGGATTGCAGTGACATCTTAGCCGTATAGATACTTTATGAATACGTTAGGGTTGAAGTAGACCACACGATTGTGATACCTATATTATAACAAGTAGGAGGGATCCAATGATACCTAAGGGTCCAAAGGGTACCTGAGATAAATCATAACTATAATGATAATATTTGTTCTAGGTGCTGAGCGGAGAGATAAATGTATTGATTTCACATCGATGTGTTTTTTCATATATTTTTATTTTATATATTTTATTTGTATTCCTAGCTCTATAAATGGGTGTCGCCCGATTGTGGCCCAAAGTAACCTTTTTACCTTTTCACCTATCCCAATTGCGGCCCTTACACATTAGGTGGAAAACTACCAGTGGTTATCAAAACTAAATAAATATCCCGATTGCGTCCGATAAGTATTTTGACATAAATATACAACTATCGTATTCACGATTCTCACGATCACCAATATTCGGCGTGGTAATTTCCAGTTAATTAAAGATAAAAAAAATTAAGATAAAATGTGATACTAAATTTATACTATTTACAGTCTTGTAAAAAATACTTGTATATTTATTCATATATTTATGATAATAATCATAAACGAGACATTGTATTTGAGTTGCATATACAAATATGTCAAATACAAAATGCTTAATTGTATTAATTATAAGCTATTTTGTGAACTAATGTGTGTTTGGACGGTTAGTTATCAATCGGCATACTTATATTTGGGATAAAATACGATTACCTGTATTCGAGCCGCAATCGGGCAATGCCGCTATAAATTTAGTCGATAAAATACTTCAATCCTCAAATATTTTATCTGTTAGGAAAATTATTCTTGATAGTATAACTGCAATATAGTTGAGAATCAAAGTAAAAATGTCCCTGTACTTTTTTTTATCAGAATAATTTAAGCAAAAACAAATAACGTATCTAAATTAATATAGTCAAGATATATGGAATGTCTTTTTTTTAATATTTGGACTGTTGCTATTAATATTATAGGTTTAGTCTATTAATAGGTATTTGACATTTTAGATTTTTTTTTCCATAAATATGAAATTTTTGATAAGTCAAAAAGTTTGAAAATTTAATAAATTGTTACTCATAAGTTGTTATTACTGGAATTAAAAAGTACCATAAATACAGTTAGTTGAATAACGAATTTAGTGATTTTGTGGTTCAAAAATATTGTTATTGGGGACTTGGAAATTGTGTGGATATTATATTACATCATACATTGTATTATGTATGTACTAATAAAATAAATGCAATGTTTTTGCAAAAAATTAATCAATCTACCATGTTACTTATACATTTAATAATAAAATAAATTACTATAATAGCAATATAAATGCATATTAAAATATACTTAGTTGATAGTCTCTGTTCAGAATCTTTTTTCTTGAGCAATGAATTCAACTTTGATATGTTATTATAGTAGCCTACCCAATAGTCAATAACATATTACATTCTACAACAGCTGGAGTACGGAAGAGCGGTTATTTACTTTCACACTGATATCTATTTGTGTATATTTTGAAATGTTCAAAAAGTTATAACTTTACTGACATTTATAATACATATGATTTTTAACATTTTATATTTATACCTATATAAATCTTAGTAAGCATTAATGGTTTATAATTTGATTTAAATTATTTATGGTAAATTAATTTTTAAAAACACGTTGTCCATAAGATAATTTTTAAATAAACATTACATAAAATACTGTGAAAAATCAATACAAATTAATTCTAAGGCTTTCAATTTTTTGTTTTCTAGAAATTAAAATATATTATTTTATGACAACAGTCTTTATACCTAAATAAATGGATTGTGTAATGACAACCGAGTGTACCTACATCAATAATATATATATTCATTGTTGTGGCACCAATCATTGTATTCTCTTGAAAATCCATTTGCAACCACATGAAATATTACGACGAATTGAACTCCCCTATGATTATGCAATATTACACACCTGTATGCGTCATAATAGTGTACATATGCTTAATAATAGATAGTTTTAACATAAACTCCCACGACCGAAACTCATTTTGAAAAACACCCACTGAAAGGAAACTCATTTTGGAGAGTATATGCCTAAACAATGACTATACTAACTTAGTTGTGGTTTATCTGTTCTATTTTCGCCGGCTAGTCAAACAATGATGAACGGAAGTTTATATTACCTTACCCATAGATACATGTCCTACGTCTTTTCCTATACCTAACCCTTAAGTTTAGTAATTAAGTGAAATAAACAGTAAACACTAATATAATATCTAAATCTTATCCATTTACCAAACATTTTTTTTTATAACAATTATGTTTACAAATAAGTGATTGGTTAATTTGCTATATGCTTAATTTTTTATAATCTACATTTTGGATTTAATTTTCAAATAATATTTAAGAACAGCAAAATCATACTAAGAATGTAAAATAAGCATAGGTAAATAAGTAATAAGTATACTAAATTAACTAAATTTTAAAGAAATAGTTTGCATTGAAATTTAAATTAAAAATGAATAGTAACTATTCTCAATAATATATGAGTACTTGATATTAAATTAGAATTTATTAAAATCTCAATGTAAATATAAATGAGTACAAATGTATATCAACCAATAATTGATTACCTATAGGCATAATAACCTCTAAAAATAAGTAAAATAAATACTTTTAAAACTAATAGTAGACAATCTAACATAACAATAAGAGATACTACATAGAATATGTCTAAAACGTTTCGAAATTAAATGGTCTACCTTAGAGTCATTGACCCATGCGAACGCTATTGGCCTAAATGCATCTATGTGTAACTTTCTACTGGGCGTCTACAAGCATTTTTGAAATTTACACTTACTAATGGCAGTAGAGTAGACACATATTGTAATTTGCCAATTCTTTCCCATAACTCGTCGTGTGATTCTGGGGAAAATAAATTGTGTGTACAATTGATATTTCTAAAAATAATAAAACTGTAAATAATACAAAAAAATTGTACATTTTTGAAAATTAAATGTAAATATAGTTGTATAGACGATAACGACACTCTATTAATAGAGTGACTGCATTTAAAATTGAATTTTATGGTAACGAACGTCCGTCTTATTAACATAATGTGTAAAATATTATTGGGTATTGGCTAGGTACCATTGGTATAATGCCCGTAAATATTGTTTATCGGACACCTATATCGGCTATATCTACATAGCATACATTATGTGTACTAAGCGTCGAGACGGCTGAGTTATCTTTTGGGGATAAACAATTAAACTTCAATAATTTTAATTGTATACAAACTGTACATTACATAGTAACATTGTTTAAATATTTATTTATGTGTACCATATATGTAACACGATGAATTTTAGGGGGGGGGGGGGTATTTTTTCTTCGTGGTACAACTACGCTGCCGAAACTTCTCGCAAATTCCTAGAGGGTTCAACATAATACTGTAAGTCTATAGCCCCCTAGTCCCCTCTATTCTATGCCTATGATATGCAAATAACATTAAGATATTATAAATATGATGAATAAACTATTTTAAAATAAATTGACAATAGAATTTAATTATTCATTTTATATATGAATACAAAAATAGATAATAGTTTTATTTAATATTTTATATGATATTATATGCTATACCTTTAATTTAGAATAGTTTTTTTTTTGTTTATTCAATTAATTTGTTTGTGAATTATAGTTTCACATATTTATTATTAGGTGTAATATTGAAACCACCTACCCTAAATATGTCAATAAAACAATTATAATAGAGTTGGATAATCGTTGTAACTTCTCTAGAACATTTTTTAAAACTTGTTTGTCCAATGATGGTCAATTTGATTATTGTATTGCATGAAATATCTAATACATAGTTAATTAATTTTATATTAAGCTTAATCTGGCCTACCATCTTTTATATTAATACAAAATATTCTACACCTATCAATACTGAGAATCGGACATACTCAAATCTCCTACAGTTTCTTAATGGCCAAAGAAGAACCACCAATATGCACAACCTACGGTGTTCAAGTCACCATCGACCACAATCTCACTGAATACCGAATATAACACAACATCAGAATTAGTCACAACCTGCCCAAATCACTAGCCAAAATACTCCATTATCACCCTCAATCCATAGCCAACATCATCCAATTCATCAAAATTTAAAATTAATATTTAAATAAGTACACTTAATAATACGTTATCGATTTAAATTATTTGTAAACCCAATGGCACACGTATATCATCGAGGGTATTGTATCAATAAAAAATAATAATACAATTATATTTTACATTTATTTACGTATAAACCATTGATCAATGGTAAAAACACAGAGAATATAATAATAATACAAACATTACATGGTCCCTTGTTTTTTCAATTATAATTACCTACTGAAATAGCCAATCATCTCCATTTAAATTCTCCCGCTTACACCCATCGTCATTCTTCAAACAGTTATGAGATTACTTGTACAATCATCACATGCAACTAGAATGTCCGACTTCATTGCAAAAAAAACACCAATCATGTGCCCTATCTTGCTTCGATGGAGTATACTCCCGAAGTGCACAAATGCGCAACATTATAATATTAAACTGCTTCCTCACCGTGGCTATTAAATACCACGATTTAGTTTTTTTTTTTTATAGTTCGGGGTTTTGTAATATAATTCGAATAAGCATTGTTATCTCCCATTATTTTATTTTATTTGTTGTTGATCTTCATTCGAATTATAACATATATTATAATGTAACTATTAAAGCTGTAATGTTCTCTAAGAAAACGAAAAGTAAATAATATTTTTAACTAATTGCTTATTATTAATAATAATAAATTATAATTAAGTAATCAAATTGAAACAATTTTTTTTATTATCGTTGACGAATGTAGTATAATAGAAATTATAATATATAGCACATGTCATGTTTAGGTATATTATTAATACATTATAATGTCTTGTTTTATTAAGTACCTCAGTATTGTAGGTATAATATAATTTATGAATTAACATTTTTATCTTTGCTAATCAATGTTATTAAACAGAACGTAAAATAAAATGCAACAAGTACATTCAATTATAATGATGATAACATATTAATTTAATTGAAAATTCATACCATAATAATAACCATTATTTTAATTACTCACTATTGAATGAAATAATAATGCATGATATTCAATGAGATAAAATTCAAATTAAACCTCATTGGTGTTTAAATTTATTAGGCTGTTGTCATTTCACTAATCGACCAATGGATAAAGTAAAAACACAACATTTACTGTTTTTAGGGATAATTAATAATGACATTTGAAATATACCTATACCTAATATTGAAATAGGTGACAAACTAAAACTGAAGAAAACACAAAGTTTAAAGCTAAAATTGTTTTATAAATAAATTCTAATTCTAAAGTGCTTTCAATTGATTTAGTAGGTAATCATATGGTACATCATAAAAAGCTAAATAACATAATTTTAATATCGTTGTATCTATTACTACCTTTTTAAAAGGATCTTGGTTCTGCGCTTAAAACATATTTTTATTTTGTTTACTTTGCCTAGGTACTTACTGGTATATTACAATCGATATTAGTTTTTTGAAATATTAACAGTTCTTTTCATACTGGTATTGTAATAATTTCAAATTTTACCATGTTGTGTAATTTAAATAATTGTTTTTGTTCAACAATTTAAAATATTTTGTTTTATTTTTTCTGCATTGAAATTGTATGCATATAATAATATATGCAATTTAAAAACAGTAAATATAAAACTAAATAACATTAAATTGTATGAGTAGGTATAATATATTATTTAATATGGTATCATATTAGTGATATTGTAGACATTATTTAATTTCAGCAAATACTATATACGACAATACGGGACACTTACTGCTGTAAAACCTGGCGACCGGTCTTATCAATTCCCCCCGAGATTGATATTAAATTGCCTAACTTTACTCCTTAAAATATGATGATACTTCCCACCATTTTTGAAGTTTGAATATCAATAATATTACATTCGTACAATCGTACGAAATATTAAATATATTCATATTAGTACCTACTACCTATATTACAATATAATATTAAGTATACTGTTAATTTGTTATCAATTAACAAAATTCATAAGTTAACGGCATAGTAATTACTTGTATTACTTTTAACTGCTTAAAAATGGTGTCCAAAAAAGTATGCGCTATAAATCATTGTAAAAATGATTTAAGTGGTCAACAGAGATTGTCTTTTCATTCATTTCCAAAAGACGTTCATATGTAAGTATCTGTTTATTATAAAAATCACTCTTAAATCATAATACACTAGAATTGTTATTGTTTATAATATTACAAATTACAGTTCTCAAAAATGGGTTAAGTTTGCAAACAATTCAAGAATAAATGAATTTATGAGAACTTTTGGACATTTACATCTGAGTTTAAATTATAGTATTTGTTCAAACCATTTTAACCCAGAAGATTTTGTACCAAACAGGGGTTCTAGTAGAAGATTGTAAGTTATACATACCTATATAGTATTAGTATTATATTATAAATGTTTTGTTTATGAATATTTTTTTAGATTGAAATATGGTGTAGTACCTTCATTAAATTTACCAGTTACATCTCCTCATTTAGCTAAACCATTGTTGAAAAGTAAGGGTTTGATACATTTGATTATAAAATATATACCTACTTATACCTAACTACTATAAATAACAAACAATTGTTTTTTAGGTTTAAAATTAAATTTCAATAATATTTTTGAAAATAGAATGAAACAAAATCAAATACACAGTCCAGTATTTTCTATGTATAAAAAATTTGATCGTTTAACAACTCCTAAAAAACTCACAAGTTCAAAAAAAAACATTATCCCAAAAGTTTCCGAGGAAAATAATTTTTTAACTGAAGAATGGAAGATGCATAAGAAACCAGTAAAACGATCACTTTTTGGATCAGATGTAGATGCATCAACATCAAATTTAGCAAATATGTTACCAAAAGATGAACATAATATTATGGATGAATCTAAAGCAGGTTTGAATATTTATAAAATGTTTCATTTCCGGTCTGGGACATGGTTTGTGTTGTATTTTTTTGTAATATTGTATTAAAATGTATGTACTACTAATTGTAAGAATAAGTAATAGAATTTAGATTTACGAGAGAAAAAAATTATTTACTCAGACATTTGTGAATTGCTATTAAAATAATAATCATTTAAATTATTATTTATAAATGTGTATTGTGAATGTTTTGTGGATAAATGTTACATAATTACATAAATATAATTGTTATATATTTATATATTAGTTTTGTCCACGATCTTGGTTTTGTGTAATGGTATATTGGTACCTATGTTATGCATTATGTTGGTTTAAGTGCTTTTTTTCTTGGTCAACTTTTGATTTTATCTAATAATTTACTATTATGTTTTTTTTCATCTTGTTGATGTCACCATTTTTAAAAAAACTATCTTATGATTTAATCATAAATGAGTAATGAATACATACACACATTTTTTGTTTTAGAAGTAATTTCTATGTCTGTTAAAACAAGAAATATTGTAGAACATCAAGAAAGTATTATCCAACAACTGAAGGTTAAGTTAAGAAATGCTCAGAAATTAATATGCAAGGGTAAAAAAACAATATTAAAACTGAAACAAAAAAATAAAAAAGAAGTGTATGACAAAAAATCCAAAATGGATAAATTTTTAAGATCTAACATGATAGCTAGGTCTGAATTTCGGTTAGGTCAATTGAAAAAAAGTGCAAAACGATACAAAGAAACAGAAAAGTCATTTGCGCTGGGTCTATATTACCACTCGCCTGTAGGCTATAAATTTATGAGATCATACCTTAATCTACCTGCTGTTAGATCACTGAGGAGATGGTTGCAGGGCTTAGATGTATCATGTGGTATAAATGAAAACATTCTG